GGGTTCAAGTAAACAAACATGAACTCAATGAAGGGTTAAAGTAAACAAACATGAACTCTATGAAGGGTTCAAGTAAACAAACATGAACTCTATGAAGGGTTAAAGTAAACAAACATGAACTCTATGAAGGGTTAAAGTAAACAAACATGAACTCTATGAAGGGTTAAAGTAAACAAACATGAACTCAATGAAGGGTTAAAGTAAACAAACATGAACTCAATGAAGGGTTAAAGTAAACAAACATGAACTCATGATAGGGTTAAAGTAACAAACATACTATAGAAGGTTCAAGTCACAAACATGAACTTAAGGGTGAAAAGTAAACAAACATGAACTCGTATGAAGGGTTAAAGTGAAACAGACATGACCTCAATGAAGGGTTAAAGGAAACAAACATGAACTCTATGAAGGAGTTCACAAGAGTAAACAAACATGAACTATCTGAAGGGTTAGAAGTAAAGCAAACATGAACTATATGAAGGGTTAACTAGTAAACCATAACTGAACTCTATGAAGGGTTAAAGTAAACAAACATGAAACTCAACTCAGAATGAGGGTTAAAGTAAACAAACATGAAGCTATATGAAGGGTTTAAAGTTAGAACAAACATGAACTTATGAAGGGGTAAAAGTAAACAAACCATGAACTCTCTGAAAGGGTTAAAGTAGGAACAAACTGAACTCTACCTGAAGGGTTAAAAGTAAACAAACATGACTAGCTAATGAAGGGTTAAAGTAAACAAACATGAACTCTATGAAGGGGTTAAAGTAAACAAACATGAACTCTATGAAGGGTTAAAGTAACAAACATGAACTCTATGAAGGGTTAAAGTAAACAAACATGAACTCAATGAAGGGTTAAAGTAAACAAACATGAACTCTATGAAGGGTTAAAGTAAACAAACATGAACTCTATGAAGGGTTAAAGTAAACAAACATGAACTCTATGAAGGGTTAAAGAAACAAACATGAACTCTATGAAGGGTTAAAGTAAACAAACATGAACTCCTAATGAAGGGGTAAAGTAAACAACATGAACTCTATGAAGGGTTCAAGTAAACACATGAACTCTATGAAGGTGTTAAGTAAACAAACCATGAAACTCAATGAAGGATTAAAGTAAACAAACATGAACTCTATGAAGGGTTAAAGTAAACAAACATGAACTCTATGAAGGGTTAAAGTAAACAAACATGAACTCTAGGAAGGGTTAAAGTAAACAAACATGAACTCTATGAAGGGTTAAAGTAAACAAACATGAACTCTATGAAGGGTTAAAGTAAACAAACATGAACTCTATGAAGGGTTAAAGTAAACAAACATGAACTCTATGAAGGGTTAAAGTAAACAAACATGAACTCTATGAAGGGTTAAAGTAAACAAACATGGAACTCTATTAAGGGTTAAAGGTTAACGTAAACAAACATGAACTCTATGAAGGGTTAAAGTAAACAAAACATGAACCCTATGAAGGGTTAAAGTAAACAAAACATGAACTCAATGAAGGGTTAAAGTAAACAAACATGAAACTCTATGAAGGGTTAAAGTAAACAAACATGAACTCTATGAAGGGTTAAAGTAACAAACATGAACTCATGAAGGGTTAAAGTAAACAAACATGAACTCTATGAAGGGTTAAAGTTAAACAAACATGAACTCTATGAAGGGTTAAAAGTAAACAAACATGAATCTCTATGAAGGGTTAAAGTAACAAACATGAACTCTATGAAGGGTTAAGTAAACAAACATGAACTCTATGAAGGGTTCAAGTAAACAAACATAACTCAATGAAGGGTTTTTAAAGTAACAAACATGACCTCTATGAAGGGTTTAAAGTAAACAAACATGAACTCTATGAAGGGTTAAAGTAAACAAAACATGAAACTCTATGAAGGGTTAAGTAAACAAACATGAACTCAATGAAGGGTTCAAGTAAAACAAACATACTCTATGAAGGGTTAAAGTAAACAAACATGAACTCTATGAAGGGTTAAAGGAAAACAAACATGAACTCAATGAAGGGTTAAAGTAAAACAAACATGAACTCTATGAGGGTTAAAGTAAACAAACATGACTCTATGAAGGGTTAAGTAAACAAACATGAACTCTATGAAGGGTAAAGTAAACAAACATGAACTCTAATGAGGGTTGTTAAAGTAAACAAACATAACTCAATGAAGGGTTAAAGTAAACAAACATGAACTCTATGAAGGTTAAAGTAAACAAACATGAACTCTATGAAGGGGTTTAAAGTAAACAAACATGAACTCTATGGAAGGGTTAAAGTAAACAAACATGAAACTCATGAAGGGTTAAAGTAAACAAACATGAACTCAATGAAGGGTTAAAGTAAACAAACATGAACTCAATGAAGGGTTAAAGTAAACAAACATGAACTCAATGAAGGGTTAAAGTAAACAAACATGAACTCAATGAAGGGTTAAGTAAACAAACATGAACTATATGAAGGGTTAAAGTAAACAAACATGAACTCTATGAAGGGTTAAAGTAAACAAACATGAACTCTATGAAGGGTTAAAGTAAACAAACATGAACTCTATGAAGGGTTAAAGTAAACAAACATGAACTCTATGAAGGGTTAAAGTAAACAAACATGAACTCTATGAAGGGTTAAAGTAAACAAACATGAACTCTAATGAAGGGTCTTTATAAAGTAAACAAACATGAACTCTATGAAGGGTTAAAAGTAAACAAACATGAACTCTATGAAGGGTTCAAGTAAACAAACATGAACTCAATGAAGGGTTAAAGTAAACAAACATGAACTCTATGAAGGGTTAAAGTAAACAAACATGAACTCTATGAAGGGTTCAAGTAAACAAACATGAACTCTATGAAGGGTTAAAGTAAACAAACATGAACTCTATGAAGGGTTAAAGTAAACAAACATGAACCTCTATGAAGGGGTTAAAGTAAACAAACATGAACTCTATGGAAGGGTTTAAAGTAAACAAACATGAACTCTATGAAGGGTTAAAGTAAACAAACATGAACTCTATGAAGGTTAAAACAAACATGAACCTCTATGAAGGGTTAAAGTAAAACAAACATGAACTCCTATGAAGGGTTTAAAATTAAACAAACATGAACTCTATGAAGGGTTAAAGTAAAATGAACTCTATGAAGGTAAGTAACAAACATGAACTCAATGAAGGGTTAAAGTAACAACATGAACTCTATGCAAGGGTTAAAGTAAACAAACATGAACTTCCAATGAAGGGTTAAAGTAAACAAACATGAACTCTATGAAGGGTTAAAGTAAACAACATGAACTCTATGACGGGTTTAAAGTAAACAACATTGAACTCTATGAAGGGTTAAAGTAAACAAACATGAACTCTAGAAGGGTTAAAGTAACAAAATGAACTCTATGAAGGGTTAATAAGTAAACAAACATGAACTCATGAAGGGTTAAGTAAACAACACATGAACTCTATGAAGGGTTAAAGTAAACAAACATGAACTCTATGAAGGGTTATTAAGTAAACAAACATGAACTCTATGAAGGGTTAAGTAAACAAACATGAACTCTATATGAAGGTTAAAGTAACAAACATGATGAACTCAATGAAGGGTTAAAGTAAACAAACATGAACTCAATGAAGGGTTAAAGTAAAAACATAACCTATGAAGGGTAAAGTAAACAAACATGAACTCTATGAAGGGGTTAAAGTAAACAAACATGAACTCTATGAAGGGTTAAAGTAAACAAACATGAACTCTATGAAGGGTTAAAGTAAACAAACATGAACTCTATGAAGGGTTAAAGGAAGCTAATGCTAAATGAATGGGTATGATGCTAATGCTAACAGTCAGCGAGGCGGTTACCGTTGTCAGCGCGACGTCGTCCTTCAACGGAAAGCATGGAGGGACAAATGAGACAAAACACATGCTAACGCTAAAGACGCTAAAGAGTTCCGGAGTCACAAAGTTCTGATCATTTACCCGAATTAAAACCGTCCAAAATATAAAATAATGTAAAGGTTTGTTACATAAAGACAGTCATTGATCTTCATCACATGTTATTCACAACAAATAAACAAGGAACAGCTAAAGCTAACATGCTAACACGATGTCTGTACTGGTAAACCTTTAGCTGAACATGCTAACGTCCGTGTACCTGCTTGCTACCTGGAGACACGTTAGCTGAACATGCTAACGTCCGTGTACCTGCTTGCTACCTGGAGACACGTTAGCTGAACATGCTAACGTCCGTGTACCTGCTTGCTACCTGGAGACACGTTAGCTGAACATGCTAACGTCCGTGTACCTGCTTGCTACCTGGAGACACGTTAGCTGAACATGCTAACGTCCGTGTACCTGCTTGCTACCTGGAGACACGTTAGCTGAACATGCTAACGTCCGTGTACCTGCTTGCTACCTGTGAATCTGTGCTGTTTCTCATCCTCACCCTGTTGCTAACATGCTAGCATGTTTTTGTGCTAACAAACGTAACACAAAAATGAAGGACATGGAGTTGGTAGATTATTTCTTGGTTGTATCGATGCTTTCTGTTTTCCTCTCAGATGGAGTCACATCAGAGAGGAGAGAGGAGAGGTAGGGGGGAGAGAGGAGAGGTAGGGGGGAGAGAGGAGAGGAGAGAAGAGAGGAGACTTTCATCTACTGGCACTCTGTTATCTGTGTTATTGTGTTGCTCTGATGGAGGAGCCTGGGACCTCAGATCATTTATATATCCTCACTGTATGCTCACATGACGATAAAAGCCTTGAACCTTGAGATGCGGGGCGCGCCCACGAGACAGATCTCCTCTCAAAGCCAAACAGCTGACTCTTGTTTGGTGATTGGATGATAGCATGTCTCATGGGCGCGCCCCGCACACTCCGCTCTGCTGCTCCATTGGAGAGGAAACAGGCTTTCCAGCGGTATTAGAGTTATTGCTGAGAATCAACAAAGAAGAAATAATCTACCAAACACACGTCCTTACTTTTTATGCTAACATATTCCCCATGCTAATAGCACCTGTTTCCGTAGTCCATGACGACGGGGTCTCTGGCGGTGCCGGTGACAGCGTCGTGATGCTGGAACAGCGCTAAGCCCCGCCTCCCAGCCGTCAGAAGTAGAAAGTGATCCTGCGCCGGGAACCCTGTCGCCAGGCGACCGTCGCCATGGGAACGCATCGCAGCCAGAGTCAGGCTGTACAGGATCTCCGTCGCTCTGTCGGAAGAAATAGTAATAATATCGTGTGTTACATTTTTTATAAAAATATCATAATGTAACTTGAAGAGGGTCCGAGTCCGACCCTAGTCAATTAACTACAGGGGTCCCTCAGGGCTCTGTTCTCGGTCCCCTCCTCTTCTCCCTGTACACAAACTCGCTCGGATCAGTCATTAGCCCGCATGGTTTTTCTTACCACTGCTACGCTGACGACACCCAATTAATTCTGTCCTTTCCCCGCTCAGAGACCCAGGTCGTCGCACGCATCTCTGCTTGTCTAGCTGACATCTCTCAGTGGATGTCTGCTCATCACCTCAAGCTCAACCTTGACAAGACTGAGCTGCTCTTCCTCCCGGGAAAAGATTGTCCCACTCTTGACCTAACAATCAACATCGGCACCTCTGATGTTTCCCCGACTCAGACTGCAAGGAATCTGGGTGTGACCCTAGATAACAACCTGTCCTTCACTGCAAACATCGCTGCTACAACCCGTTGCTGCAGATACACGCTTTACAACATCAGGAGGATGCGTCCCCAGCTGATCCAGAAAGCCACGCAGGTTCTGGTCCAGGCTCTCGTCATCTCACGCCTAGACTACTGCAACTCCCTCCTGGCTGGTCTACCTGCATGTGCCATCCGACCTCTGCAGCTCACCCAGAATGCAGCGGCTCGTCTGGTCTTCAACCTTCCTAAATTCTCCCACACCACTCCGCTCCTCCGCTCCCTTCCACTGGCTTCCGGTAACTGCTAGAATCCACTTCAAGACACTGGTACTTGCTTACCATGCTGCGAATGGATCTGGCCCTTCCTACATCCAGGACATGGTTAAACCGTACACCCCAGCGCGTGCACTACGCTCTGCATCAGCCAAACAGCTCGCTGCACCCTCGCTGCGAGGGGGACCCAAGTTCCCATCGGCAAAAACACGTGGGTTTGCTGTCCTGGCTCCAAGATGGTGGAATGAGCTCCCCATTGACATCAGGACAGCAGATAGCTTGCACATCTTCCAGACTGAAAACTCATCTCTTTCGACTCCACTTCCAGCGATAGAATTACTAACAAAGCACTTTTATACTAATAAAGGACTGGCTTATCTAAAGCCAGTTGAGTAGCAGTTGAAATGTTTTTGCTCTATGAAACCTGATGTTCTGTTTTCTTCAAGGTTGTGTCTTCCTGGTCGAATGCACTTACTGTGAGTCGCTTTGGATAAAAGCCTCAGCTAAATGTAATGTAATGTAATGATGAAATATATAATTATAAACACATCTTTTAATTATATAGACACGAGAAATTAGTACAAATATTAAAAATAATAATTAAATAATAAAACATTTTTTTTAAAAATCATAAAAATATCACAATAAATATTCATATTAACATATAATGAGTTATTTGAACACATGTTTGATGATATCTCCTCACCGTAGCGTGGTCTGCAGCGTGCGGTGAGTCAGGAGATACCTTTGAACACATGTCTGATGCTACAGCCTCAGACTCACCGTAGCGTGGCCTCCAGCGTGCGGTCCAGCCTCTTGTAGAACGGTCTGGACGTGAAGTATCCGCTCCAGTAGTGGTCGTCTCGGTCGGCGTACGTGAAGAAGTCTCCGCGGACCGTCGGCAGAGACGAGACCGGTAACACCTTCTGGAGAGCCTGGAAGTAATCTGAGAGAGTCCCAAAACGAGCCTGGAGACACAGAGACCGACAGAGAGACATTTAGAGAGACATTTAGAGAGACAGAGAGACATTTAGAGGGACAGAGAGAGACAGAGAGACATTTAGAGGGACAGAGAGAGACATTTAGAGGGACAGAGAGAGACATTTAGAGGGACAGAGAGACATTTAGAGAGACAGAGAGACATTTAGAGTCATTTAGAGGGACAGAGAGAGACAGAGAGACATTTAGAGGGACAGAGAGAGACAGAGAGACATTTAGAGTCATTTAGAGGGACAGAGAGAGACAGAGAGACATTTAGAGTCATTTAGAGGGACAGAGAGAGACAGAGAGACATTTAGAGTCATTTAGAGGGACAGAGAGAGACAGAGAGACATTTAGAGGGACAGAGAGAGACATTTAGAGTCATTTAGAGGGACAGAGAGAGACATTTAGAGGGACAGAGAGAGACAGAGAGACATTTAGAGTCATTTAGAGGGACAGAGAGAGACAGAGAGACATTTAGAGGGACAGAGAGAGACAGAGAGACATTTAGAGTCATTTAGAGGGACAGAGAGAGACAGAGAGACATTTAGAGGGACAGAGAGAGACAGAGATACATTTAGAGTCATTTAGAGGGACAGAGAGAGACAGAGAGACATTTAGAGGGACAGAGAGAGACAGAGAGATATTTAGAGAAATGTAGAGAGACTTGAAGTAATCTGAGAGAGTCCCAAAACGAGCCTGGAGACACAGAGACAGACAGAGAGACAAAGAGAGACAGAGAGACATTTAGAGGGACAGAGAGACATTTAGAGAGACAGAGAGACATTTAGAGTCATTTAGAGGGACAGAGAGAGACAGAGAGACATTTAGAGGGACAGAGAGAGACAGAGAGACATTTAGAGGGACAGAGAGAGACAGAGAGACATTTAGAGAAATGTAGAGAGACTTGAAGTAATCTGAGAGTCCCAAAACGAGCCTGGAGACACACCGGGGACACACCGGGATGTAAAGAAGACATCACTTTGAGAGTCTCCTGACACACGGGGGACACATGGGGACACACCGGGGACACATGGGGACACACCGGGATGTAGAGAAGACATCACTTTGAGAGTCTCCTGACACACGGGGGACACACGGGGGGGACATGGTGACACACGGGGGACACCGGGGACACACGTGATGTAGAGAAGACATCAGAGAGTGACTTTAGCATGACAGGAGAAGAGAGACAGCAGAAGAAGAAGTAGAGATGCGTGTCCTCACGCTGACGTGCAGCTCGGGGTGCGTCTGGAAGAAGTCGAACAGCTTCTGGTAGTTTCTGAACTGAGCGTCCCACTCGCTCGACTCCACAAAGCGGAAATCATCTCCGAGCGGAACGAAAAGCACCGGAGAGCGGAAGAGGCGGGACTTCCTGCGGTACTGGTCCAATAGCAGGAGGGCTCTGAGTGTATTACAATAAAAAGACTAAAAAGTCACAATAATAAAATATAAATATTCAAAAGCAAAATGATAACACTCATAAATTAATATTAACAACGACCTCATCAGTATTCTCACCTGTGATGTTAGATACTTTGACATGTTGGCCATGAGGGTTGTGCAACAGTGTCTGTGTCAGTGTGTGTGTTGTGTGTGTGTGTGTGTGTGTCTGTCTCTGTGTGTGTGTGTGTGTGTGTCTGTGTGTGTGTGTGTCTGTCTCTGTGTGTGTGTGTGTGTGTGTGTCTGTCTGTGTAAATTCAGTGGCGTACCGTGGGGCTTTAGACAGCGCCTTCAGTAAACAATTGAAAGCACACACACTTTACACGTCTCTGTTCTATTTCGTATATGGCTTCGCCCTCTAAGGCTATCGCTATTGGGTAATCCCCCTGCGACCCCGCGCAGCACTGAAAACTTGTAGTCCACGCCCACCCGCAAGGTGGGCCCCACCCTCGGGCTCCTTCCGGTATAAATAGGAAGGAGGCCCGGCACTCTGCTCCCTCTTTTCTTCAGCAAACCAGCACAGTTACTGAAGCACAGTAATTGAGAATCATCATGAGCAACAACTGCGTCTGTGATTGTCCCTCATGTGGCTCTGGGTTCATAATGAGTTATGACCAGCAGAGATAAAAGCAGGATGCGAATCCTGCCTGGGGTCAGAGCACGCGTACGCGGCTCTAAACCAGCAGGTAGCATGCACATACTGCGCCCGTCTCCCCTCGGGCGACAGGAAGCGGAGAGCGGACGCTCTTGCTGCTGCGGCCGAGGAGGACGATTGGCCCGTCCAGGCTTACGAGCCGCGGACGGGGCCTCGTGTCCCTGGGGGGTGAAAAGTTAGGACGATTCTAAGGGCCCGTGACTGACAGGGGCCCAAACATTTTTAGAACATTAAAAAAAATGTTTAAGTAACCTTTCATCAATCATCAATAATTAACATTAATATAACGTCATATTGATAATGTGCTCACTAAACTTACGATTCATTTAACTTATTTTCTTCCAATCCAAAGCCTCTGTACACCCCCCTCTATTTACATGTAATGGTTTGGTCCTGCTTCCAAACGCGGTGCAGCACCGGCCCTTTCTAGCAGAGAGTGAGAGCATGTGAGGAGCAGGGATGCTAGTACTTACGTGTGAACGATGTCTCAACGACTCACAAAGTCAGGCTTTCAAAAGAGAAAAGAAAGGAGAGAAAGAGAGAGGGCCTAAAGGGCGACAGTATCCCAGTGTTTCAAAGAAAAGGTGGGTGTGGTCTATGAGTGGTGGAAATGTGTCTGTTAGCTAAGCGTAGTCCATTGTATATAATCATTTTAATGTTTTGCTGACATTAAAGGTGGGGTAGGTAAGTTTGAGAAACCGGCTCAAGATACACTTGTTATTATTAGGGCCGGGACTCGATTAAAAAAATTAATCTAATTAATTAGAGGCTTTGTAATTAATTAATCGAAATTAATCGCATTTTTAATCACATGTAAATATTTGACCTGAGAACAGTGAGAAGCCATTTTTTTCACATGGATTTTAGTATACCATTAGGCGCATTCACACCGCAGTACTTTTCCCACAAAGGTTCATGAGAACTTAGTTCATGAGAACTCTTTGAACCTGAGGGAGGATTAGGCAAATGAAGCCGCTGACGTCACTTCTTCTTCTGCTTTGGGTTTACTGGCAGGCCGCAAACCACTTCACGGCGTATACTGCCGCCCAAAGTCCCCGGCCGGAAGTCCCCGGCCGGAAGTCCCCGGAGTTGGGGACTGGCTTCAGTAGAAGCTGCTGGGAGTCCCAGCAGCCTTCCGAGTAAATCGCCAGAACGCCGACACCTCCTCATCTCCACCGCTCCCATGTTTTATTTTGTGTTGCCATAAGTTAGTCTCTCTGCGTTTCTGCGCTGGGCTAATGCTAATGCTAATAATGCTAATGCGAGGATAATAAAATTCACAAAACTTTTTGGGAGTTTTACGGGGCGTGGTTTGCAATCCGCCCAGCCAATCAGAAATATAGCTCTTTTCTCACAAGAGAGCCGTACGAAAGTCCCTGCTCTCTAGCAGCTCTCTGCTCTCTAGCAGGGACTTTCGTGGGGGTAAAAAGGTTCTCATGAACTAATTTTAGTACCAGCTCTTTTTGGTGTGAACGCGATAAAAGAGGCTAACGTCCACGCTAGCTTCCACGCTAGCTGCTATATGTTTTGCATTGAGGTGATACTTGAGGCTTGATGTGCTGCGGTGATATGCCAATTCCTTTTTGCATAATTTGCACACAACCGTGCTCTTATCGACGCTTCCATCCGTCCGTTTTTTAAAACAACATTTCCCACTGTTGTTCACTGTGGTTTGTTGTTGTCTGAAGTCATGAACGTTAGTTGGTGCTCCAGTATAATCGGTACGCCTGAAACTCATCCAGTGAGAAACGTTCCGCGGTGCAAAAATAAGTGCGATTAAAATGCGTTAATTTTTGTGTAATTAATTCATCTTAATTAACGCGTTAAAGTCCCGGCCCTAGTTATTATATTCCATGGAATGCTCTTAACATCCCGATAGACACCAAAATACATGACGTTGACCTAATACTCACATTCATTATATATGTTGAATACATAGAGATTGTCTTTGCAATGGTACTAAATAAAAAAATGGTTTTATACGTAAATTGCAATTTATTTAAAATGCCAAGTTCAAGGAACTGCCTTGTCACTTTGATCATACAGGAAGTGGAGCCTATAGTTCTCATTTAAAAGATTTTTTTTTTCAATAAATAAATCTAATTTATATTTACATAACATTACAAGCATTAAATATAACAAGCATTACATATAGGCTAACACTGAAATGGTAACAAAATACGCAAATTATTATTAATAATATCAAATAAATGTCAGTCACCCAAAATGACATCATTGGTGTACTGCTACACAAAACGCTTTTATTCTGAAGTGCCTCCTGTACCAAGAGATCCTTTGAGGACGAGCACTAAGACATAAGTCAGATACTTCTTACTTTGTTTGTTAAAGGTGTCATTTTATCTTCAAATGTTACGTGCGTCTTTCCAGTCTGTCATTAGTGTTACTCACGTCATAGTGTTACTCACGTCATAGTGTTACTCACGTCATAGTGTTACTCACGTCATAGTGTTACTCACGTCATAGTGTTACTCACGTCATAGTGTTACTCACGTCATAGTGTTACTCACGTCATAGCCCAGGGGTGAACATTGGAATGGTAAAATGTATTGAAGAGTTAAACGATTTTGATATTGACTGAAGCCACATGTGGTCTGACACATGGCAGCCATTTTGTTAAAATGGTAGTGCTTTCTCCAAATTGTCACTGCCGGCTAAAGTAACTGGACGGCCTACCTGCCTGCCAGCCTTCCATCGGGGCACACACTCATCCCGTGCCCTCATTGGTCATGTCCGTGTGTGTTGGAGGAGGGGCTCTGTGAGGAAGTGGTTGTGTATTTTCAGATTCTAGCCACTCGAGCTGGTTTCTCCAAAATTATGAAATTAAATCATAAACACATAAATAAAGTACTCAAATTTCCCTTTAAGTACTGTTAATATCTTCACAGAAAATGCAGAGGTTTTTCATTTCACTCCTCTTTTAGCTGACATTTAATAAATGCAGGTACATTTTTAGCAGCTATTCACTAAACCCTCCCCCTGGTGCCAGGACCAACAGATCCATCTCTAGGCTCCGCAGCCCTGTCCCCCCATAATGCTTTGCAGTCTTGCCGTGCTGTCCATTGAAAGCTGGACTTCAAGGACTTGATCAGTGGCTTTGCCTGTAAGAAGGCTAGGCTGGGCTCGTGGTGAGTGAGGCTGAGCCAGGGCTCGTGATAACTGTTAAAGGGCGAGGCTATGGTAACGCTATTGGATCACTACACACCAGATGCATGATGAGAAAAAGACTTTTCATTTTCGTGTTGTTGTCCGTTTACACTTTAATACCCGCTTATTTTGTAGTTGGTATATTTAATAAAAAAATCTGCAGCTTATGTTTTTTATAAATGATAATATTGGTGTTAATGTTCACTTTATTTTATATATTTAAGTTATATTTATTTATGAATGTTCCATTAAAAAATGTGATTAAAAAGGCATGAACACCATAAAGATGACTATTGAGGTCTATTGTCAGGAATGTTCGTGTTATATCAAAGAGTGAATTCTGCTGCAGCAGAATGTTGCAGTCTGCACAGTGTTATATGTTCACCGCTCAGTGTCAGTACATATTGTGCGGTTAGTTTTGGACTACAAGATAGATGCAAGCCTGTACAGGTAGAGCTATTTAAAGCATCAATGAGTGGTTGGGTTCTGGAGGTGTGGTTACAGCAGTGTGCTTGGTTGGTTGCACCAGGGAGGAGTACGATCTGCGCAGCTTCTGAACGCAGCCAGGCGGCTGCTGCTCTGGGCACGCACACGTTGCTCTCCATCAGAGCAATGTATGTTCCCGGGGAGTTGAACCGAGGGGCTCGCAGAGCGCAGCAGCCGTTGTATGCGACGAGTATGGAGACTCAGACCTGTGTCACGCACACTGAAAGGCGCCTCAGTGGGATTTGTCTTTGGTGTTACGCGCACTGAAGCAAAGCCCCATTTGAACCTGATCAGGTTCCCCTTAAACTGTATTCAGCCAAAGTAGCTCTGCTTTTGGCTCGATCAGAGAAAAGGGTGATCTCTCTGCTCTCTCTGTGGCTCCGTCAGCTCTCCGGATCTAAGGAGATGCAGTTCAGCTGTTTTACGCCCTAACCCGGCTTCATGTCTAAGGTCATCACAACTCTTTTAGGTCGAGAGTGATCACCCTGGCTGGCTTATTCCCCCCTCCTCACAGGTCGGAGGAAGAAGCCACGTCTCATCTCCTCTGTCCTGTGCGCGCGCTGTCTTGCTATGTGGCGCGTTCTCAGCGCCTGTTTGTGCACTATAGAGAGCGCTCGATCTGCAGCCTCTGTCGGCACAACGGCTGTCACACTGGCTGTGTGAGGCTGTGTCGCAGGCATATGTCTCCTCTGGGGTGGAGCCCCCGGAGAACATCAAGGCGCACTCCACCAGAGGAATTTCCTCCTCCACGGCTTTGCACGGAGGAATGTCAGTGGAAGATATTTGCACGGCTGCATCTTGGTCTTCCCCCTGTTCATGTATTCATTTTTATTTGAGGGAGGTCTCCCTTTCCTCTCTGACACACCCTGTACTGGGTGTCCTGTCGGAGTGAGTGACGTCAGGGAGCCAGCTGTGTGCCTCTCTCCTGCCTCTCGGCACACAGAGAGCGGCCCTTTTCCCCTCGTATGAAAGGGATGTTCCTTTTACTCTGACACACTTCGTACGGAGTGCCTGGTCAGAGTGAGTGACGTCAGGGATCCAGCTGAGCGCTCTCCTACCTGTCTGATACGCAGAGAGCTGCTGTTCCCCCTCTATGATCGCTGGACAAGGTGGGACCTTCGTCTCTACTTTCTCACAGCGGCTGGTATGTATTGTTCCCAGCCTTCACCCCGTCGGGAAGATAGGCATGTTTTGCTATGTTCCAGGGACGGTGATGCGCCTTTACGCATGGCACAACAGGCAGGGGGTGTTATTGTGCAGGTGTGTCTGTACTTCTAGTGCCGGGCGGACCCAATGGGGCGCAGACTATATCATGCTTCACCCTTAACCCAATAGCGATAGCCTTAGAGGGCGAAGCCATATACGAAATAGAACTGAGGTTACCTACTGTAACCCAGCTTCTATGAGTAAATGGCGCAGCCCTCTAAGCGCTGGGCCCCACTGGCTCCACGAATAGCTGAAGAAAAGTTATTTTGTGTGGGAGCAGATTGCCGGGCCTCCTTCCTATTTATACCGGAAGGAGCCCGAGGGTGGGGCCCACCTTGCGGGTGGGCGTGAACTACAAGTTTTCAGTGCTGCGCGGGGGCGCAGAGGGATAACCCAATAGCGATAGCCTTAGAGGGCGAAGCCATTTACTCATAGAAGCTGGGGTTACAGTAGGTAACCTCAGTTCCAGCGTCTATGGTTCCAGCCAATGCAGCCATGATCACATGATGCCAAACCATCTCTCAACAATACAACAGCTGATCAACAATACAACAGCTGATCAACAATCACAACAGCTGATCAACAATACAACAGCTGATCAACAATACAACAGCTGATCAACAATACAACAGCTGATCAACAATACAACAGCTGATCAACAATACAACAGCTGATCAACAATACAACAGCTGATCAACAATACAACAGCTGATCAACAATCACAACAGCTGATCAACAATACAACAGCTGATCAACAATCACAACAGCTGATCAACAATACAACAGCTGATCAACAATACAACAGCTGATCAACAATACACAGCTGATCAACAATACAACAGCTGATCAACAATACAACAGCTGATCAACAATACAACAGCTGATCAACAATACAACAGCTGATCAACAATACAACAGCTGATCAACAATCACAACAGCTGATCAACAATCACAACAGCTGATCAACAATACAACAGCTGATCAACAATACAACAGCTGATCAACAATCACAACAGCTGATCAACAATCACAACAGCTGATCAACAATACAACAGCTGATCAACAATCACAACAGCTGATCAACAATACAACAGCCAGCTAGATGAGGGTTAAAAGCAGACGACGTGTCCCAACATGGATCAATGAGTAATCTATTACTAAACTCGTGTCATCGTGCACTCTCACGTCGCTCTAAAATGAGGCGAATAGTAACGTGCTCACCGTCACTTGTAAATAAAGGAAGTTCAGCTCAGGACACTGTCATTGAACATCAGCATCTGATTGGCTGATGAATCTGTCACTCATGCTGATTACCAATCAAATGTGTTGTCTTTCAACAAAAGGCTAGCAGTATCTGCTGTTCCCCTGCCAACTGAAATAACTGAGAGGCGTTCAAGTGACTTTTTGATGTAGGAAATTCCAGTTCAGCCTCAACAAAACCTTACTTCATTTTGTAATGTTGAGGATATTATATTATTAAAACGTAAAACTAAATACTCAAGAAAACCCTTTTCCACACACTTGATGTGATTGGTTTCAGGCCAGCAGAGACGGCCCTGCTGACGGCCCTGCTGACGGCCCTGCTGACGGCCCTGCTGACGGCCCTGCTGACGGCCCTGCCGACGGCCCTGCAGACGGCCCTGCCGACGGCCCTGCCGACGGCCCTGCCGACGGCCCTGCCGACGGCCCTGCCGACGGCCCTGCCGACGGCCCTGCAGACGGCCCTGCAGACGGCCCTGCTGACGGCCCTGCTGACGGCCCTGCAGACGGCCCTGCAGACGGCCCTGCAGACGGCCCTGCTGACGGCCCTGCAGACGGCCCTGCAGACGGCCCTGCTGACGGCCCTGCAGACGGCCCTGCAGACGGCCCTGCTGACGGCCCTGCTGACGGCCCTGCAGACGGCCCTGCTGACGGCCCTGCAGACGGCCCTGCCGACGGCCCTGCAGACGGCCCTGCAGACGGCCCTGCAGACGGCCCTGCTGACGGCCCTGCTGACGGCCCTGCAGACGGCCCTGCAGACGGCCCTGCTGACGGCCCTGCTGACGGCCCTGCAGACGGTCCTGCTGACGGCCCACCACGGCGCATGAGTGATGATATGTGTGTGTATTTTAATGTTTATTATGTTTGTATATGTACATGTATGTGGAACTCTAGGACAGAGTCCAGAACAAAAGTCCTTACGGGGACAATAAAGTATATGGTATGGTATGGTACCTCTCGTGGACGTTCTGCTCTGTGATTGGCTGAGGGGGGACCCTCCAGGGACAGAAGACCCGCCCCCCCGGCAGCCGGTGAAAGTCAAACTGACAGCAGACGGCTGGGTCGGGACCGCAGGTGTGAGGGACATCGTAACTGTAGAAGGGCATCATGTGACACGTGATGTCACCGAGGGGGGAGGAGTCTGAAACACATCAAACAGAGTGATGTCAGTGAGGGGGGAGGAGTCTGAAACACATCAAACAGAGTGATGTCAGTGAGGGGAGAGGAGTCTGAAACACATCAAATAGAGTGATGTCACTGAGGGGAGAGGAGTCTGAAACACATCAAATAGAGTGATGTCAGTGAGGGGGGAGGAGTCTGAAACTCTCTCTCCTTATAGTACATTTTCTTACATATGTATTATTTCTATATATTGTTTCCTTAGTACTATAGTACTCACTAATAGCACTTACTATTACAGTATTTATATAATAACAGGTGAACTAACCCCAGCTCTGCCTCCACTTGAACTCCAGAGTCTTTTGCCGGGCGAACTCCTTCTTCACAGCGTAGTGAACGCGCTGGATGACCATGTTGCTAAGCCCCGCCCCCTTCAGCAGGTAGGCCATGGAGGGGGAGTGGCCAAACGGGTCGATCGCCCAACCACTGCTCGGCTTCACACCTGCAGACAGGAGGGGACTCTTTAAAGCAGAGACACTACCTACTGATATACACCTGAACATCAGCAGGAGAGGACTCTTTAAAGCAGAGACACTACATACTGATATACACCTGAACATCAGCAGGAGAGGACTCTTTAAAGTAGAGACACTACATACTGATATACACCTGAACATCAGCAGGAGAGGACTCTTTAAAGTAGAGACACTACATACTGATATACACCTGAACATCAGCAGGAGAGGACTCTTTAAAGTAGAGACACTACATACTGAAATACACCTGAACATCAGCAGGAGAGGACTCTTTAAAGTAGAGACACTACATACTGATATACACCTGAACATCAGCAGGAGAGGACTCTTTAAAGTAGAGACACTACATACTGATATACACCTGAACATCAGCAGGAGAGGACTCTTTAAAGTAGAGACACTACATACTGATATACACCTGAACATCAGCAGGAGAGGACTCTTTAAAGTAGAGACACTACATACTGATATACACCTGATCATCAGCAGGAGAGGACTCTTTAAAGTAGAGACACTACACACTGATATACACCTGAACATCAGCAGGAGAGGACTCTTTAAAGTAGAGACACTACATACTGATATACACCTGAACATCAGCAGGAGAGGACTCTTTAAAGTAGAGACACTACATACTGATATACACCTGAACATCAGCAGGAGAGGACTCTTTAAAGTAGAGACACTACATACTGATATACACCTGAACATCAGCAGGAGAGGACTCTTTAAAGTAGAGACACTGAACATCAGCAGGAGAGGACTCTTTAAAGTAGAGACACTGCATACTGATATACATCAGAGGACTCTTTAAAGTATATATTACCCAGGTGTGTCTGTATCCACTGATGTCCTTCTATCAGCTGATCCAACAAAGCGTAATAATGAGAGTTTGCCTCGTCGGCCATCACCCAGCCACCCGTCACTATCTCCAGCTGCCCCCCCGCCAGCAGGCTGACCAATCACAGAGCAGCACACCACAGGAGATCATTGTGTTAATTCAAGACATTTATTTATTTCTGGATTCATATTATATTTAGTTTGAGTTACCGTTTGACCGTGTCTCTCTTCTTCTGGTCGAGCTCTTCCCACCATTTAGAGAAATAACTGATCTCTGCCCAGATCATCTTCCTCCTGCAGAGACATCACTTCCTGTTACACAGCTGATATCAGGAAGCAGAGAACAGGAAGCAGATAACAGGAAGCAGAGAACAGGAAGCAGATAACAGGAAGCAGAGAACAGGAAGCAGATAACAGGAAGCAGAGAACAGGAAGCAGAGAACAGGAAGCAGAGACAGGAAGCAGAGAACAGGAAGCGGAGAACAGGAAGCGGAGAACAGGAAGCGGAGAACAGGAAGCAGAGAACAGGAAGCGGAGAACAGGAAGCGGAGAACAGGAAGCAGAGAACATGAAGCGGAGAACAGGAAGCGGAGAACAGGAAGCGGAGAACAGGAAGCTGATAGCAGGAAGCAGAGAACAGGAAGCAGAGAACAGGAAGCAGAGAACAGGAAGCAGAGAACAGGAAGCTGATAACAGGAAGCGGAGAACAGGAAGTGGAGAACAGGAAGCAGAGAACAGGAAGCAGATAATAGGAAGCAGATAACAGGAAGCAGAGAACAGGAAGCGGAGAACAGGAAGCTGAAAGCAGGAAGCAGAGAACAGGAAGCAGAGAACAGGAAGCTGATAACAGGAAGCAGATAACAGGAAGCTGAGAACAGGAAGCTAGATACAGGAAGCAGATAACAGGAAGCAGATAACAGGAAGCAAATAACAGGAAGCAGAGAACAGGAAGCAGATAACAGGAAGCTGAGAACAGGAAGCTGATAGCAGGAAGCAGAGAACAGGAAGCAGAGAACAGGAAGCAGATAACAGGAAGCTAGAGACAGGAAGCAGATAACAGGAAGCAGAGAACAGGAAGCTAGAGACAGGAAGCAGATAACAGGAAGCAGAGAACAGGAAGCTAGAGACAGGAAGCAGATAACAGGAAGCAGAGAACAGGAAGCTAGAGACAGGAAGCAGATAACAGGAAGCAGATAACAGAAAGCTAGAGACAGGAAGATGAGAACAGAAAGCTAGAGACAGGAAGCTGAGAACAGGAAGCTAGAGACAGGAAGTTGAGAACAGGAAGCTAGAGACAGGAAGCTGATGACAGGAAGCTAGAGACAGGAAGCTGATAACAGGAAGCTAGAGACAGGAAGTTGAGAACAGGAAGCTAGAGACATGTAGCTGATGACAGGAAGCTAGAGACAGGAAGCTGATGACAGGAAGCAGATAACAGGAAGCAGATAACAGAAAGCTAGAGACAGGAAGCTGAGAACAGGAAGCTAGAGACAGGAAGCTGAGAACAGGAAGCTAGAGACAGGAAGCTGATGACAGGAAGCTAGAGACAGGAAGCTGATGACAGGAAGCTAGAGACAGGAAGCTGATGACAGGAAGCTAGAGACAGGAAGCTGATGACAGGAAGCTAGAGACAGGAAGCAGATAACAGGAAGCTTGAGACAGGAAGCTGATGACAGGAAGCTAGAGACAGGAAGCTGATGACAGGAAGCTAGCGACAGGAAGCTGATGACAGGAAGCTAGAGACAGGAAGCTGATGACAGGAAGCTAGAGACAGGAAGCTGATAATAGGAAGCTCGAGACAGGAAGCTGATGACAGGAAGCTAGAGACAGGAAGCTGATGACAGGAAGCTAGAGACAGGAAGCTGATGACAGGAAGCTAGAGACAGGAAGCTGATGACAGGAAGCTAGAGACAGGAAGCTGATGACAGGAAGCTAGAGACAGGAAGCTGATGACAGGAAGCTAGAGACAGGAAGCTGATGACAGGAAGCTAGAGACAGGAAGCAGATAATAGGAAGCTAGAGACAGGAAGCTGATGACAGGAAGCTAGAGACAGGAAGCTGATGACAGGAAGCTAGAGACAGGAAGCTGATGACAGGAAGCTAGAGACAGGAAGCAGATAACAGGAAGCTAGAGACAGGAAGCTGATGACAGGAAGCAGATAACAGGAAGCTAGAGACAGGAAGCTGAGAACAGGAAGCTGATAACATCATCAATTACACATGAATCTACTTGTTGTGTTATAAGACACTATTGTCCAATAGACTTAATGAAAATGAAAATGTTTTTAAAACCAAGGGGTCCCAGACAGGAAACCTGACAGGAAGTGGAAAGGAGGTGTTACTTGATAAGCGGTTGTACCTGCTGTCCTCAGACAGTTTGGTCAGCATATTGTTGAGGATGTGTTTCGTCTGGTCGTGATAATAATTATCAAACGTCTTCAGCCAGCCTGAAACACGGCAAAACTTTATTTATAATGAGTTTATAAATAAACAGGTGGGACGGAGCGTGGACAGGAAGCAGCAGTGATGTCACACACAAAATCACATTCAATCGTTAGCGTTACGTCGTTAGCGCTACGTCGTTAGCGTTACGCCGTTAACGTTACGTCATTAGCGCTACGTCGTTAGCGCTACGTCGTTAGTGCTACGTCGTTAGTGCTACGTCGTTAGCGTTACGTTGTTAACGTTACGTTGTTAACGTTACGTTGTTATGGTTACCGGGGTCGTTGTGAGAGTGCGGCACCAGGATCACCTCCAGCGGCGTCTCGTCCCACTCGTCTCCTTGGTAACGGATATCAAAGCCTTGTTTCCAGACGCCGCCGGGAGGGTTATCGAACGGGAGCCGATCGTAAACATCCAGCAGCTGACGGGAACACGCACTTTAATACACACTGTCACAGACACACACTTTATACACACTGTCACACACACACACACACACACACACATACTTTATACACACTTTATACACACACTTAAACATATCCAGAATATCCAGAAATGATAATATTAATAAATGTAATAAATAAATGAAAAATGTCTAAAATATCTTAAAAATAAAGAAAACAGAAGAAATTCCAGCAGAAAGTGAACAACGATAAACCAGCTTTTACAACAAAACATCTGTTAGCATCTGCTAAGCTAACCTGCACTTCGTCGGCTCCACCCTTTGTCTCGTCGGCCAATCGACAGCCAGGCAGCGAGTCAGCTGGGCTGTGGGCGGAGCTTACATTGGCTCCTCCTCTATTGTCCCCTTTAGGGTGTAGCAGAGAGTCTCGTAGCGTAGCAACCAGACGGTTGTTGTCGCTAAGGAGACGCTCCAACCTGTCAATCTTCTGAGCGAGGCGGGACAAATCCTGCAGACAGGAAGTGATGTCATCAGAAAACGTATACAAACTAAAAACTCCAGAAATCAAAAAGTAATGGAAGTGAAGTGTTATTATAGAATAAAGGGGATTGTTCTCCGGTAACCCGAGGGACACCTTTCATATTTAATAATTCAATAGGGAGGGTGAAGCAGCTGTTGCTAACGCTTAGCAGCAGCGTAGCATAGTCTCGTTGTTATTGTAAGCATTTCTATGTATGTATTGTTTACGGGGGGGGGGGCTCACCTGGTCCCCCTGTCCTGCAGGTGCTTCCTGCTGAGGCTTCGCCTCCTGCTCCAGCATGCGATGCAGTGACATCACGGCGGCGATGAAGACTCCGCCCACAAAGAGCGCGAGCAGCCGCTTCCTCTTCATCTGGAAACACGGTGATATTAATATAGCTAAGACATCTAGAGCAGGGGCTCTCAGCTGGTCCGGCCTCGGGACACACTCTTTCCTTGGCAATAAATCGCGACCCGAAATTTCTAACCACTCAAATCTATTCAACACCAAATGGTGCTGTAATATATACGCTTCTCAGCAGACAATATGAAAGTGCAGCGCACACATCCCTTCACAGAACTGAAGAACGCTTTAAAGGGTTCATGAGATGATGGAATCAAAGCTGAACGGTATCAAAAGGTCCACATGCTGAAACCCAACCCCAGCAGGGGGTCTGGGGGGATTCTCCCCAGAAGATTTCTATACATACTAAACATATAAACTACGCATTCTGGTACACTCTGAGAAGAAAATAAATACATCTATTGCTACCCGACATGTTAATAATATTTGATGCCATTGTTTGTTTTTCACGTTGTTCTGACAGCTTGCTGCTCCTCACAGAGAGAGAGCAAAGAGGAGTCTGTGTGACTTACTTTAAATTGTGGGTAAGGGGAGATAGCTCCCATTGTTCTGTGACCTGTCAATCATCAGACCGGGGGTCATAGTTCATTATGTGTTCATTTCTATCTGAAGTTGTACCCATGGATGTATAAAGAATAGTTCTACCGCAAAGTTATTCTCCGTGGGGACTTCCGGCAACAATCTTGATTCTGATTGGCTAGAAGACTCGAGAAAACATCAGAAAAGATTATTACAAAGCACTTATATACTAATAAAGGGTTGGCTTACCTAAAGCCAGTTGAGTAGCACTTGAAATGTTTGGCTCTATGAAACCTGATGTACTTTATGATTCTGTTTTCTTCAAGGTTGTGTCTTCCTGGTCGAACGCACTTACTGTGAGTCGCTTTGGATAAAAGCCTCAGCTAAATGTGATGTTATTGAGAAGATGATCACTACGTGACAGAAGTTTGCAAAACCGTTTATGGTCTCCGGTACTTCCAGTCCAACGCCGACTGCATAGCGGCAGAACATCGGGCCTTCAAAATAAAAGTTTCTTTTTCAATTTTTCTTTTCTTCACTCACACCCACTGGAAACGGGTCCGCGACCCACCAGTTGAGAACCACTGATCTAAATACATGATTTAATAACATTTGAATATTTAAAGCATTAAAAAAAAAACATTACAATTATTATAATCTTTACGAAACATAAAGATTTAAAGATATTTTATTTTTCGTTTAAAATATTCTTAAAAAACATCTTTAAAATGTTAATAATTTCAAAATCAAGACATTTATCTGTTTCTTCTTCATTTAAAGAGTTTAGTAACATCATGTTCACTTCAGGTGTTATTTTGAGTTAGTGAGATCTCACTGAAGGGTCAACTTTAATCTTTATTAGTTATTAACTGTGACGTGTCTCTCAGCTTCTTTAATAATCATTTAATAAAAACCGTTTGCAATTCAATAAACGGCTTTTATTCCTGAACATATATAAATAAAGATTATTTATTATAAAGTCTTCTGTAATCAGAGCCAGAACCTGCGCGCGCAGCTCAAACGGGCTTAAAGATAATATCTAAACTTCATATTAAAATTCAAACTTGCCTCACTTCCGCGTTGCTGCTGCAGAGTGTCCCGTGCTGTTCGTCCAGTGCGATGACGCAAATTCCCGCGGGAAGAAACTCAAATAAAAAAAGTTCTTAATTATTAAAGTTAATATAATTAAAAACGTTGAAGTCTGTCGGAGCGTTTGTGCACGAGCTCTGCTGTTTGTTTTGCTTCCGGTTTGGTTCAGCTGACTCAGCGCTGCCGACACTTCCGGCCAGGAAATGACGTCTTTAGGAGGAGGTCCTTAAATCCCATTAAATGTACTTTAAAAAGTACTCAGATCACTTCAGGAAAAGTACTTCTATCGTTTAAATACTCAATTACTGAAAGAATGTCTAAATGTTAATATATATATATAATTAATATACAAATATATAAATGTATATTTCTGCTGCTTTCTGTAGTAAATGCAGGATATTTTATATTCTTTATGATGTGTGTTTTCTACTGTAGATATATAAATATATATATAAAATAAACAGCAGATATAGATAAATATATATCTGCTGTTTATTTTATTGTTCAAACTTTATTAACCTCCTAAATGCTGTAACAGATCAATACATAGTAACTCATTGGTTTCTCACAGCATCTCTGTAGAGTCTGTGTATTCACTCTCTGTCCTGCACGGCTTGTTGGAGCTCCTCCTCCCCCCCTGTGAGCCCACTGTGCTTTGATTGGTCAGCTCGCCCACTGTGCTCTGATTGGTCAGCTCGCCCTCTCTGTTCTGATGAGTCCACCCTCGTTACAGCTGAACATCAGTGATGATGTTTTACAATGGCGTTTGTTAGCAACCAGGAAATGACTCCAGTGATGACAAACAGGTCAGAATGCTGCGTGGGGTCTGGGGGCCGTGTTGGGGGGCTCGCTGCTCCGCCCTTTGAGGCTCGAGGAGCGGACAGTGAGAGCTGGGTTACTGGGGTCGTTTCCTGGTTGCTGCGAGACACTGCGGAGCCCAGCCTGAGCACGCACACACACACAGCCTGAGCACACACACACACACAGCCTGAGCACACACACACACACAGCCTGAGCACGCACACACACACACAGCCTGAGCACGCACACACACACAGCCTGAGCACGCACACACACACAGCCTGAGCACGCACACACACACAGCCTGAGCACGCACACACACACAGCCTGAGCACGCACACACACACAGCCTGAGCACGCACACAGCCTACGCAC